AATTGTTGCCCTCAAATCTGTATGTTAGTCATTAATCCTGAATTTCTTTATGCTAAAGTCTAATGATGGACCCCCGTACCAGTGCCCAGGACGTGATGCGATGTGACCTGTGTGAGACCGCTGTGGTACAGATGCACTGTGATACGTGTCTTGTCAACCTGTGTACGGCCTGTGTTGGAAAACACTTTTCTGTTGATTTCTCAAAACCTCATAAAATTGTGGACTTCAAGGACAGGAAATCCACCCCCCTCTACCCTATATGTACATCTCATAACAAAGAACAATGCATCATGTACTGTAAAAAATGTGACATTCCTGTCTGCAGCGACTGCATTGAATCTAATCAACATTTAGGTCATGAAATATCTAAAATTCTGCGAGTTCTGAATGAAAAGAAGGATATTATTATAAAAGAGAGGAATGAATTAAATGAGACAATATATCCCACCTACCAGGACATTGCTTCTGATGTACAAAACAGAATGAGTCAGTTAGAAAAGGAATATGGAGATCTCTCAACAGCCATAACAAAACATGGAGAGGACTGGCACAGAGAAATTGACAAACTTGTCAAGAAACTTAAAGCTGAAGTTGATGAGATGAAAAACACACAGTTACAAACTCTACAGAAACATCTGGATGAAATAAAAAAGACAATGTCTGACATCAAGGGTGAAATTGATTCAGTTGAAATAGCAATAGACACTAATGACTTGTCCGAACTGTTTAGTGTCACACCCAATGTACAAATATACAGAAATCTTCCACACAAAATTACACTGTCTTTACCCGAATTCAATCCAGGAAAAGTCCATGAAGAACTTTGTAAACTGTTTGGAGCCTTATCATCGAGTTCTTTTACTTCAGATAAAAATGGCTACAGCATGACGACAACACAGAAATCACCAGAAGCTGGATCCTCTCCTCCAGTCAAACAGATGCTTGATGAACCAGAGACCGTCACCACCATAGACACTGGGTATAAATATAACCTTTACAAAGTGGCTTGTCTGAGTGATGAAGAAATCTGGACAATTGGAGATGACGGCACCATGAAACTCTACAGCATCAATCAGGGATCACTACTCAAGTCAATCACAACCAAGTCATGGAACATACCATCTAACATAGCAGTGACAAAAAATGGAGATCTAGTTTATACTGATTCCTATGATAGAACTGTGAACATTGTGAAGAATGAGAAGATAGAGGAGGTGATCAGACTACAGAACTGGAGACCTCACGGTGTCTGTAGTACCTCCTCTGGTGACCTCCTGGTTATCATGGACAGTGATAACAACAAACCAACAAAAGTTGTCCGTTACTCTGGCTCCACAGAGAAACAAACCATTCAGTTTGATGATAAAGGTAAACCTCTCTATTCATCTGGTGGTTATTACAGACACATAACTGAGAACAGGAACCTGGATATCTGTGTGTCCGACATTGGAGCTGAAGCAGTAGTGGTGGTCAATCAGGCCGGGAAACTGAGATTCAGGTACACTGGACATACTACTGCTCCAAAGAACCAATCATTCTATCCAGTAGGAATCACCACAGACAGTCAGAGTCACATCCTTACAGCTGATAATAACAATGTCTGTGTCCACATCATAGACCAGGATGGACAGTTCCTCCGTTACATACACTATGTACTGTTTCCCTGGGGACTGTGTATAGATACAAATGACAATCTGTTTGTTGCTCAATTAGGAAACAGACAAGTGAAGAAAATCAAATATCTCCAGTGAAACACATCATTGTGTTGTTTTCAATATAATAATAATAAATAAAAGAGGTATGCAATAGTACTGATATATAAGTATTCTGTTTTGTGAAAACTCAATTCTTTTATATGACCTATAAATATTAAACATATGTATAAATGTGTGTAAACAATAATTTTGAAGTGAATGCCAGGGGGTTATTTAGAATTATTTTCCATTGTTTGGTATGTTTTAAACAAGAGGTCCAAGACGTTATAGGTCATCTGAGTATCATGTAACAACTTTCCAATTGAATAGGTTTGTGTTTTAAATAAGAGGCCCACAGGTCACCTAAGTATCATGTAAGAACTTTCCAACAATTTAATTTCTTTATTGTTTTTAACCACATTCCATGAAATTCAAAAATTTTGAAAGAGGCACCATTGAATCATGTGTATACATGTTGCATGTTTTAAGTTTGATTTCTTATTACCCACAGGCAGAGTAGGGGAACAAAAACAAGAGGCCCATGGGCCTTATAGGTCACTTGAGTATCTCGTAACATCTTTTCAACAATTGAATTTGATTCATGTTTTAAACCGAAGGCCATGAAATTCAAAATTTTGAAAGAGGAACCATTGCTTATAATAATTATACCTTAGAATGCTTACTTTGTTTACTTAATTCCAAGAGGTAGATCTGAGTAACAAAGAGAAACTGCATTTCCACTTTATAACCAGTTGTGTTCCCCACACCACAGGAACCACTGACCCTGGGGCTACATACATGTATTTCAAAATTTTGGAAAATTTATCATGAATTTTATTTCATCATAAAGTGTTGATAAATACCAGATTCATTTTCAGACTATGTACTCCCCCTCCCCTTCAAATACCTCTGACCCAGGAGCCTGGAAATTAATCATTTTGGAAAAGGCACCATCCATCATAAATATGTAGTACTTAAATCATTGGCATAATAACCTTGAGCAAAGGAAAAGATTTCAAAGAATTCATGTATTTTCATTATATAAACATAAGAGCCCCACCCTAACACAAGAAGTCCTGACCCAGGGGCCACAGAATTCACAAATCTCAAAGAGGCATCCTTCCTCCTTATAACTACGTACATAGTTCATTGGTTTAATACCCAGGCTCAGAAAAGAAGATTTTCAAAGAAAAATTATTTTTCACTATATCATCTGTATAGCCCTGCCCTAACACCAGAACCCCTGACCCTGAGGCCATGAAATTCATAATTTTGGAAGAGGCAGCCTTATTCAACATAACTATGCACTTGGTTAGTTTATTCAATGCCCAGAAGCAGAGAAGTAGAATTTTAAAGAATGTATGCATTTTCACTGTATAATCTACATAGCCCCACCCTAGCACACCTGACCATGCATGGGGCAATGAGATTAATAATTTTGGAAGAGGCAGTCTTATTCAATATAACTATGCACTTGGTAAGTTTATTTAATGCCCGGGAACTGAGAAGAAGAATTTCAAAGAAATAATGCATTTTCACTATATAATCAATATAGCTCCACCCTAGCACTAGAACCCCTGACCCAGGGGCCATGATTTTTACAATTTTGGTAGATGCAGCCTTATTCAACATATCAATGTACTTGGTTAGTTTATTTAATGCCCAGGAGCAGAGAAGAAGACTTTCAAAGAATTTATGCATTTTCACTATAAAATCTATTTAGCCCCGTCTTAGCACTAGAACCCCTGACCCTGGGGCCATGAATTTCAAAATTTTGGTAGAGGACTCAATGCTGACTACAATCATAACAACATTTGAACAGTAAAGAAGAAAATTTTAGTGGTTTTACCCTACCTCCAGGCCCCTGGGGTGCAGGGACCATGAAGTTCATAATTTTTGTTCCCCTTCACCTATAGATGCTCTATGCCAAATTCGATTGAAATTGGTTCAGAGGTTTCAGAGAAGAAGCTGAAAATGTTCAAATGTTAAAGCATGACACATGTCGCTTGACGGACGACAACGGACAAAAACGGATAGCAATAGGTCAACTGAGTTTACTGACAGGTGACCTAAAAATATAAAGAGGAATAGTGTATAAAACATACCATGTTTAGTAAAGCTATAAAAAATCTTAACACGGTGAACATGGCGTAACTGCTGGCGAAGGCTGTTCCTATGCCGATGGCCCCTTGTATCCAGAGCATGCCCAGAATGATCCACTTCCTGCCAAACTTGTCCGACAGCGGCGTGAGACAGAGGGCCCCCAGCGTGTTTCCCACCATATAGATCGTGGAGGACAAATCCACCAGGAATTTATTATCACACACCAGGTCCCACTGGAAGAGAAAATGTGCAATTTTTTTTTAAATTGACAGTATCGAAATGAATCATCAAAGCTCCAGCAACAGAATTTTTTGTATGCTGTCACAGTTTAATTTCTATGCTAATGATTTACATTGTTATTACTTGATGACTAAAGTCATAACAGAATTCTGCTCTCATCTTCATTAAAAATAATGCTCTGTGGATTTTTAGTTTATTTTCAACTGAAATTTTGTATACCGGTATGTACCTCTGTTAATATGGTGGAATCAAATTCACTTCCATATGTCCACCCTTGATCACATGTCTTGGTTTGATTTTGGGTTGAAGATTTCATCACACATTTTTCAAAATCTCCATTTGAGTCCAGAGGAATAATGGCTGTCACTGATTCATTTACAGGCACCTGCAGGATTAGATTCAAGTTAAATTTTCAAACTCCAAGCAAGTAAGCCCTTCAACATAACCCTTACATGTACACATATTACAGATCTTTTCACAAAATGTGAGGAGTTGTTCTTCCTACACTTTGAGGAAAATATGCATTTATTCAATTTTATGAGAAGGAGAAAGTCAGTTTTAATCAGAGAACGAACTAAATTACCGAAAACTATTTTATTTATGCACATATAAAACTGATTTATGGTTCATTTAAAAGTAGTGTATGTTTTCCCTAAATGATAAAGCTGCACTATTAAGTTGTAATTTTTTTTATTCAATTAAAAGCTTAAAATGGCGCCACACAAAGTCGTTTTGGCAATTACAAAAGGTCACATGTATTTCATTTTTTTTCCAAAATATATATATCAAATACTTCATATTATTAAAAATTAACCTTTTGTAAATACATGAACTTCAGGTATATTTGAAAACTCATTTTCATTGAAATATCGATCGCTATTATGTACTAATTAAAAAGTTTGCGAAAATAAAGTTAACATATTTTTTTTAAAAGATTGAAATAATTTATTAAATATAGAAGATAAACATTTTAATTTTTTTTTACTCAACAATATTTATTACATGTATTGAAATGAATTATTGCAAAAGATATCAGGTATGAAATTAAAACCAAAACAGTTTTTGCAAAAACCTATGACATCACAAGGTAATGAAAATTTAAATTAAATATTGTACAGGGAGAACTTCCATCTACGACTCAAAAATATAAAATACAAATTTTGATTTTAAAAAAAAGCAAAGAGAGGAACAAAGGAACAAGAAAGAAATCATGATCATAAATAAAACTTTAATTAAGGTGTACAACAACCTCAAAATACATATATTTTTTGGTTCTTAGTGACCAACTTATACAGTAAAACCTTGATTTTTCGGACTAAATAAGACGAAGAAAAACCTTCGGAAAAAACTTTTTGAGAGTATTTGAGATATCGAGGGTAAAATTTAGAATAATTAAATTATTTTGGTTTAGTTAATCACTGTTTGATTTCAACTTAGAGGTGATCTGTTTATCTGTGGAGCCTAGAAGAACTCCAATCTCAAACGATATTCCGAGCCAAATTTAAAAAAAAATAGGTTATTTATACGGTGTATAAATTCTCTTGTCTTTACAGTTGAAGTTACATTGGTGAGATGGTTTGAGGTAGCCGCTGGTGGACTTATGTTTATTTGCCTCATCGTCAGTGGTTTTTATGTGGCCACCGAGAGGTGTCGCACAAGGGCTGTGGCAGTGGCTCTGCTTCTGGTCACGCTCGTAGCAGGTAACTTTGCTTCTCAAAATCTTTATATATCTCTGAAAACTACTTCTATACCCCGTAATGTTCCTTATTTATTCTTTAAGCTGGACTTGCCATCGCTGGGATAGTGTTATGGATCCTACAAGTGGAGTCGCCGTACTACCCCGCCTGGTCCATGGGCCTCTCCGCTCTCGCCTCCGCCCTCGTCCTTATCACTGCGATGTGTCTGGTTCCCGACATTAAGGAAAATAAATACGAACCAAAATCCACAGTTTACCCTGATCACGGCAGCAGGTACAACCGTCTGGAAAAATCTGACAGCATTCTAAGCAGAGACGACGGGCGTAGTGACAAAGTCATCAGACGACCATCTGACGTCATGGTAACATCAATTGGTGACACCCCACGTGACTACAAAAAGTCAGGTGACCTCGGGAAGGAATATGGAAGACAGAACAGACGTGAGAGCAGAAACAGCACCGACTACAATCCATACCCTTATGGACCAAGATCTACCAAGGACCCTTTTAACGGTGGATTCGACAGATTTGAACTTGAAGTCATCACACCATCTGCCCCTCCAAGATATGATTATATGCAGAAAAAATATTGATAAATATATATTTAACAAAACACTTTCTTCTATTCAATACTAAATTTTAAGTTATAAAAAAAGAATGGAAAGATATAGCTTCAGGTATTTAGCTCACTGGCTATGCAGATGAAAAAAAAGGATACAAAAATTATCTTCATTAATTTTTCAGATATGTAAATGAGCTACAGACCTTTGGCAAAGACAAAGATACAGATCAAATATATATATTCCTCAAAAACATCAGTACATGTATATGTTTCTCGATCTTTTGGAAATGGATAAAAATGTATATCGTTTAAATTTTTGAATGATCATTTAAAAAGATTAGATTCACATTTTCTACCATTCAAGCACGTGACGATGTATCTTTTTTTTTTATTAGAAGCCATGAAAAGAATTTTTGTACATTATGACTTCAATCTTACTAAAGTTATTTGCAGATCAAAAAAAATCATTTGCATAAAATATATTTTTCATTTTCTGGGGTACTTTCAGAAAATTTTAAATTCCACGTTTTTTTAACAGTTATATTACCATGAATGATTTGCAGTATTTTCTTGAACAAAGAGTGTTAATTTAGGCGATTCCACTAGATATCATAAAGCCCCTATAATGATGCGTTAAATTTTGAGATCAGTTACTCTATTGTTACTGATGCAGATTAATATTTTTTCCATTGCCATGATTGTTATACATACACATGTATTCATTGAAGTGTTGTTTTGTTTGATGTTTGTATATATTAAGGTTTACTTACTTCGAAAATATTTTTATATCTTGTATGTCATAATTGTTTTTTGTTTATGTTTGTTCTTGTTTGATATATTAAAAAAAAAGTTTTTGATTTAAAAAATATGTTTTGTGAAAATCAAGACATTTCTTAAATACATGTATATGGAATTTTAACTTGTTGTATTGTTTTAAATGGTTAATACACCAATACCACACATATCTGAGGTTAAACCATGAAACATCTTTGGTAGAATTTCAAAGATATACTACACATAGGTATTAGCAACTTCAATTTTATCATGCTGAAAACTTTTTCCATTTTTTTAAGTAAAAAGTTCCATAACAAAGTATATATCTGGTTCATTAACTCTGTTCACGTTTCGCAGACTGGTTTATTTTTACCTTTACCTAAGAATTTTATCATTCTGCAAAATTTTACCAAATTTCTTAGCTATAACAAGCTAGTGATTTCATACTTCAGATGTGTGTTTCTTATTACAAGAACTTTCCTCGAGTTAAAACAACTTTTAACTCTTTGACCTTGACCTTTGAGAACTTCGAAAAGGCTTTCATTTTTCGTTGAATTCCTTGTGACATTTCTTTAGATATCATGTCTTGATCTTTTGTCCTTGGAGTTTGACTTGCAATTGAGAAACATCAGCCTTTGCTATAAGCTGCCATCAGTGTTTCACAACAAGTTTTTTTTTTCTCAATTATCAGTTTTAAACTTGTTCTGGTGTAAGGATATTAATTTTGTATGTTGATAGCTTTAACTAACACCTTTTATGCATTTCCAAACACTGGATGCAAAAAGATACAGTGTATTTATAAAATAACAGTCACTTGTGTGTCTGGATCCCTCAATATTTTCTCTAAGAAAAACAAAATTTCAACAAATATTTTATCAGTATTTCATTTATTGATATCAACTCAACTTCACTCTTACTAGAAACCCCTTCTCATCAGAGTAACTCAAGTGTGATCACCTTAGCTTATGCATCTGAGAGGAGGAATTATAATGTCATGTTTTTTTTATATTTACTATAATAAAGAATAAAATGTACTTCAGAGTTTCATAATTTTTATGCATCTTTGAGAAATTTGACCAAATGAAAAAACAATGTCTAGAAAACATTTTATTTTTAATAACATGATGTTAGGCTGTATAATTTTTTAGAATCCTGTTAAAATCTTGCTTAGGAGAGACTTGCAATTGAAAACATGCATTGCTATAAGCTACCATCCTGGACAACAAACAAGCGTGAAATGATTTCCCGTCCATTATACATTTAAATAAACTTGAAACTTATCTGTGTGCATTAAATAAAATGACATTGTTATCCTGATAAAATTCTAGGAAAACTTTTAAAATCCTTTTTGGTGATTTCCAAATGCTTAGGATGCAAAAAGATAAAGGGTAAAATATAAAATCAAATGTCAAAGTTGTGTATACCATTGACTTTGACCTTCATTCATGGGATGGATATGTTTCTAAATATGGGTACAGGTGTAGTTAAAAAGGTAACATTAAGGAAACATCAAAATTATTGATTCACAATGGTAATTTGGACATTTTTAACAGAAAAACATAAAACAAAGAATAAAATAAAGTACCAGAAACTCTTAACAAACAACAAACTAAAAATAAATAACTGTCTCTGATGGATAAAAAATCAAAAACTTTGTTTCAAGACCTCTTACCTAAATAAAGGATTTCATTCTCTACAATGTCAAGTCATTTATACCAAGTATACAGAACAGACTTGGTATTTCATACTTTTCCTATATTTCTAAGTATAATAATTCCAGAGACATTTACCACTAATGAAGAACTGCCTTTATCTGTGTCAGATAAGTAAACCAAAAGTAAAACTAGTAAATGCCCCTCCTAAGAAATCCTCTTTATAAGAATCATTGATATTGAGGTTTACTCTTATTTGATTCAGTGGTCTTTGAAACATTGGTTAATTGAGCAATAACAACACATGTATTGTTTATGTTACAACATAAAATCCATCTAAGGGGCATAATTTAAATGCTATATAACCAGATCTATATTTCACTAATAATAAATGTAAATGAAAACAGATTGACTGCAAAAAAACAATCAAACACTGGTATCAGAAATATAATTCTATCAAAAATAACTCTCATACTACAAGATATGTCTAACATAATGAGATCGAAACAAGTAGCACTAAAACATCTGTTGAGGTGAATGTTTTGGCACAATAGTGATCGACACAATCATTTGAAGGTTTGTTCTTTTGTTGAAATAAATGTCAAAGTTGATTGTAAAGAACATAAAGAAACTGTGGTTGAACTCCATGTTTAATCCCATGACCTGTGTCACCCAGGTGACCTTGACCTGATCAGGTATGTGACCTTGACCTGGTCAGAGATAGGTGTCCTCAGTCTGAGTGGCTGCCCCTCGGGTGAAATGTTCCACGTCCTCGATGGTTTCGGGGAGGGGTTTCTTGTGAGTCTCTGGGAGAAAGCAAGCTAAGATTCCCCCTACGACCATGATCACTCCGAACACGACTAGAGGAATGTAAGACTGGGAGCTGCTGGTCTGAAAACAAAAGGCAGAGGAAGTTAATTATAGAGTAATTCACTGTCTAAAATAAAGAAATGGAAACATTCTCAGATTTAAAGCAACTTCTAGTTTGAAAATTCCTACATACCCTATACATATATATTTTTGGAATACTGAGATTTGTTTTTCTACTGTTAATGCTTTGTTTTGAAAAAAAATATGCATAATGTTGGACATATTGAGGCCACAATAAAGGAATAAAATTTTGGTAGGAAGCCATAGGACTTAAATAAGTGTTGTTTTACTGAACAAATCCTGAAATCCAAATACTTACTGCATAGACTATCAGAGGTGCAGCTATTCCACCTAAATTCTCAAAGAAAGACGACAGCCCCACGGCTTGGTTTCTACAAATACATGTAAGTAAAAATGGCTTAGTACAAATGCTTTAATTTACAAGGATTTTTTTAATTAAGTACCAAGTTTTTTAAGAACAAGATGCCTATAAATTGACAAAAATGGACAGTTTCTGACAAAAATTCAACTCCCAAATTATCGACTTCTAGGCAAATATATATACGGTAGTAATTAATGTAAATAAACACTGTCACTTTGACATCAAGAACAATTACTTTTGTCCAATGACTGTATCATACCTGACAACTGTGGGGAAGATTTCTGAGGAGTAAAGGTAGGACAGAGAATAAGCCCCTGTAATCCCAAACTTTCCTATCATGGCGGCTGTTATCTGTAACCAGGTTAGGTCAACACCAGAATCTGAAAGCAAAAAAATCCGTGGTCAATTCAGTGTATCTGCATTTCATGAATTAGGTACATACTAAACGAGACTGTTGATATTCTTGTTTCATCAACTTGCTTGTCAATAATTTACCTTGTTTAAGAAATTGTTCATACGTAGAGCATGCTCTTGCGTATCGAATCAACTGAGATATAAATACTCCGTATGCAGGTGATGAAGGTATATTGCTGCATAAGTAAGGGAAGTTGACGATAGAAAAGTTAAAGTCATCACGTTTATCATATAGCTTGGTTGTTAGATTACCATTAGTGTCTTTTTCAAGTAAAATATCCAAGTATGAAGCATAAGTGTCGGACTCTGTGGTATCTTTTATCTCAAGCTCAGCAGGATATATCGTGTCGACGTAGGAATGGAAATTATCATTATTAATTGACAATACGTCGTCGATATAACTAAATGTCGAGTTGAAGGCCACAGCAAGTGTTTCCTTCTTTTCACGTAAAAGATTCTGCATAAATTCTGCTTCATATGAATATAAAAATAAGTCTGCTAATAACGGAGCGCAATTTGTACCCATGGGAATTCAAATAGATTG